TTTGAATTCTTCTTCCCTGAGTATATGATAATTTTATACTTGTGTCTCACCAGCACCTGAACAATGATATTCATGTCTGTGTCTCTGCCATGGAAATTTCTTACTTGATAAGTCCTAGGAGGCTGGTTTTTAAGCAGTGAAGTGAAGAGAAGCCAACAATCAGCCTATATAAGCAAGAGCAAAGATGTGATCAGACTATTTGAAGTAGAAAAACCCACTGAACTAGAATTGTGAATGTGTTTGTGGAACTAAAGAGGTAAATACAAAAGCAGTATGTATGAAATTGTTCTACCTCTAACCTAGCAAAGCACATTACTGTCAATTAAGTAAGAATATCCTGTCATGCCAAGAACAATTTAAGATGGTGTTTCAGCATTTAAGTATAAACTTGAAAAAGTTTTCATCTTGTATAATTTAGGGGCTTAGTGAGTCCCATGTTCCTGTTTTTCTAGGTTTGTCAGCTGGATCCATCCAGAAATATGATCAAAAGGCATATGACTGAAGTTTATAAATCATGAAAGCAACAGATAAGCTGAATGTTGAACTGTTAACCAAATATTGCACTGCAAGAAATAGAGAACGCTTGAAGCCATTAGTAAGAAATCAAAATAAACCAGACAAAACTGGGCAGGGAGCTTCTGGAATTTGCTACCCCAGGAGGCTGCAGAGGCAGACAATATCAGAAAAATCAAAAAGACAAATGTATGGACATCAGGACAATAAGTAAAAATTCTGTAATGTCTAATACCCGTAGTATAACAGTTCTGGATGCTAGCATGGTGCAAAGGGAATGACTTCAGAAAGTAGCTCTCCCAATAGTTCTCCCAAAATATTTCTCCTCCTGCCACTCTGAATTAGGGCTGGGTGAACTGTTGGTCTGGCATTAGGGCATTTTTTTAGTGTCCTTGTGTTCTTCACCCTCTTCATTCTTTACTAGATTCTGTGCCCCAGGGTAAGTAAACTGAATATCTTGTCTTGATATTCAGGTATACCTATTGTATTATACTCAGCAGATAAGATCACCTTCCTCCGCCATATTTTGCACACATCATTTGTTCCCACTAGTGGTTTATCTTTTTCATCAACTTTAAATTAGTCATAGTTTTCTTCATGTTTTTGTCTGAGACCAGCCTCTTACTAACTATCTGCTCTCATTTCCCTGTATTTCTTCAGTTCTTTATGTACACATTTAACAAGTCCTTTCTTACCTGTTCATTCACCCTCATTACAAGAGTATTTCCAAGGCTTCTCACCTGGTGTCCCTCTAGATGTCTGTGAACTGGCTGCTGGTGCAGCTTCACAGGCTCGGGGAGAAGAGCCGCAGGGGGGACCAGCGCAGAGAGGTACGAGTCTTTCTGCCACATTCCTTGCTCTAGGGCCAATGCCAACCGCATTGGGCCAATGCTTATACTCACATTAATGTTCTGTGGCATGCAGTGTTTCTCCCTCCATTCAAATTTTCATCTAATCCCAGCTTGATCAAATGAGATCTGCAGCAGCTAAGTCATATTAGAAAAAATTAGGCCATCAATCCATTATTAAGCTGGAAAGTATTTTATAGTCTGTGTCTGGCCTCGGGGTGTCTCAGAACATTCCACGGCTGATCTGTCCTGAGTATGAGAGGGCTGGGGTGTAGGTGCTAAAAGACGCGTACAGATACTGGGGGAGTTGTGGGGATGTTTTTAAAGCATTTGGTTTCCAGCCTTGGATTAGCTAGAGCCAAGGCCTACGTGTTTGTGACTGCGGTCTTTGTGGTTCTGATGGTCAAGGTGCTTTTGAAAAAATTCTCCTGGTCTCGTTTATGCAGGTAGCTGCTACATCCAAGAGATAGTGCCAGTTCTGTAGCGTTGGGAGATTATCCTGAGATATATGTAAAGTTCTGTTGTTTGTGTCTTAGCAAAGATCAGTGTACACTCTTAGAAAATGTTACATTTGTTACATCTTCTGGTCTTGATAGTATGTTCTATCCAGCACTCTGAAAATTAAAAATCTCTCGCTGATTTTTACTGGATAGCTGTTTCTCTGTTTTAACTGTGGTACTTGCCATAATGACTGTCTTTTGTGTATGCTTATTCATTTCCTTAGTTAATATTCTCTTTTTCTAAGAAATCTTGAGATCCTTGGTGCAGGTAGTTTCACAGAATCACTGAACAGCTGATGTTGGAAGGCACCTCTGGTGATCACCTAGTCTCACCCCCTATTCAAAGCAGGGGCAACTACAGCAGGTTGCTCAGAACCTTGTTAGTCAGGTTTTGAATGTTTCCAAAGACGGAGACTCCACAACCTCTCTGGACAATGGTATCAATGCTCAATAACCCTTACAGACTTCCTAGCACCAAATGATAACTCTTTCAGATATGTACAGTATAGGAAGCAAGACAGTAGAGCATCTGAAATCATTAACTGATTGTTAGGACCTTGGCCTTAGTAACTAATTGGCTTTGGTGAGGATGGAGGCATTAGAGGTATCTTTTAAAAAGCATGACTTAGTACCAGAGTAAATAATTATTCCAGTTCTGCCTTGGATGTTGTTGTTCTGAGTGTTGAGAGGGAAGAAAGTATGGGGAGGATTGAATTTTCTTTAGTTCGGGTCACTTACTGCATTCTTGAAATGCCACATTTGGATGTTTGCCTTCTCGCCTCATCACTGCCTCAACGTGTCACATTGGATTTGGTGCAAGAAATAGTTAATTTAAGGCAGCTGGTGCAAGCTGCTGCAGATAGTATGAGTCAAAGACAATTTTTTCCAATGGCATTGTGCTTTGAGCCTAAGCTGCAGAGGAACTGGCAGTGCCAGGAGTTGAAAAGAGATGTCTCTGTTTTGTGCACACTGGAGTTCCAAAGGCGGTGACTGGGGTAGAAAACCAATTTGAATATGAAATAAAGAGTTGCCCAGAGGAAGTAAAGACTAATGACTATATCCATGGCCAAAAAGAGGTGGAGGGCACTGGATGAGATGCATGGCCTCTGTCTGTCCTTTCTTATTACAGTTGCTGACTCCCTGCCCTAAGATGACATGCGTGTTGGCACTCTTTAAACTGATGACTTGTTTATTTTTGGTTGGCTTTCAGTTGCTAGATTGACATTACAGACCATAGTCTTGGACTGCTGTACATCCTTTATAAATTGCTTTAAGATGTTTTAGTGTGATAAGATGATATAAAAATTGAAGTCATTACTACTATCTGTATTACCAGAGGAATTGGACAGCTGGCATTGATCTGTAAGAGACTAATTTCCATATTTTGTTATTACATTAACCCATAGAATTCTTCTTGTTTATGATTTCAAAGGAAGTTTCCCTAATCAAAAGGTCATCCTCTGTAGCATGTAGCGCTTGAGAGACATGGGAGGAAGAAAATGTATGGACTCTGTCATTTTTTATCTGATCAATAACATCTTGCTTTGTTCATAGTAATATCCCAGTATTTTACATTGCATTGTATCAAGATCTCACCAACCGCTTCACAGAACTGCTTGTGAGAGAAATCTAGCAGTTAGTGAAGGCTATACCGCTAACTGCTTGGTTTGGGGCAAATATTATGCTCCCCTTGAAATTCTTGGCATTTATCTTAAATTTTTTAATTAAAATAATCAGAAAAATTCTGTACTCATTGCTGTTTTGTAAGGAAAGAGATTGAATAAGGGCCTTATCTTGCTGTGTTGAGTAACACTTTATGATGAGCTAAATTGTACCATTCATCCAAGAGCCACAGTAATGGTAGCACAGAGGCTGCTGTGTTGCAGAGGGAGTAACATGCTCTTTGCTATCGTCTCCTGGTTTCAGAATAAAGCCTGAGAAATCAAAGAAGAGATTTTTAATAATTTAAAAGCACTTACAGCCAGAACTAGAGGAGGTAAAAAGTTGAGTCTGTTTAAAAAAAGTGAATCAAACAACACCTCATTTTCCAAGGTGGTATCAGTGTAGCTCCAGTGTGATTTGCCGCTATTGGCAAGGGCACCTTTGGACAGCAAATGTGTATACTGGGAATCAAAGGTCAGTAGAGGGCTGCAGGGCATCCCTCCCTCTACTACCTCACAGCAGTGGTGAAGACCAAAGAAAGTAAGTTTTGGTTTTCTTCCTAAGGTAAAGCTTTGCTTGATGCTTTAGTTCTCTGCTTGGTCCAAATACTTCCTTAGCGTTGGCTCAGCCAGTGTGCTGTCTTCCTCCTGGTTGCTTGTAGCATAGAGATGCCCAAAAGATGGAGTCAGAGTTCCACTAGCACAATCTGGGTAGTGTGTGATATTTTAATGCCTAAAGTCCGCGTGGGACTGTTGTTCAACACTACTGGTAAAGATAAGGCACGAACTGGGAGGGATTGCCTGAAAAGACCATAGGCTCCTTATAGTTGGGCACATGTTTTTTTATGGTTGCGCAAACATCTTTTTCAGGAAGGGTTTAGATATAACTGCTCATGTGAAGGGAAATCTTTGACTTTTCTGTTTTGCTGTGATAGGTCACTGTTTAGAAGGATTTGAAGAGCTGGACCACAAAGTACAGGTTCTCCTATGAAACAGTGCTCTTACACTGCAGACATATCTGAATTGCTACAATATTAATCCTGAGTATATCTTAAATTGATTAAATTGGTCACATTCACCTTCACTGGTGGTTTCTTGACAGTAATTTAGATGCTTGAGAATAGATGAGGGTTTATTTAGACACCTGGATGAATTGTAGACTTATGGGAGATATCTTACCTCTGGGAGACCAGCTGACATTCAAGAATAGCAATTCGTTGTCAAAATGGCACAAGATACCTATTTTACATGCCTAAGTGTCTCACAAAGCATCAAAACAATATATAAAATGAAAAGGGAGGAGTGGAACATAGATGGCTGACAGTAAGCAAGTACCTAACCAATGAAACAATGTCTTCTCAGACTGAGGTATTTCAGGTCTGGGAATTTTTTGCTGTAGCAAATTAACCTGTCAGAGTGAGAATATCGCATTAGTGGAAATCCTTGGGTGATTTTTTTTTTTTAACTTTTGCATCCAGGCCGTGCTTTGCTGAGACTTACTGACAAAAAGCTTGAACGAATGGGCATTGCCCAGGAAAGCCTGCGACAGCACATTCTGCAGCAAGTCCTTCAGCTGAAGGTGAGAGAAGAAGTCAGAAACCTCCAGCTGCTTACACAAGGTATGAAAAATAATTTTGATTTGGACAGTTATTGAGATCAGGAAGGAGAAGTTTGCTTGAGGGCATAAAAGGTGACTTGACGTTCTCCCACAAGACATGATGCGTGAAAATGTCTCATAGATTCCACATGCTTTCCAAGCTGGGAACAAAAGGTAAAATAATGCATAAGTAAATAGAGATGTTCAGCTGCATGTTTTGCATGATGAATAGGCTCCATCTACAGCTTGATGGTAGTCTTACTTAGCTGTCTGCTTACTAGGATGAAAATAATTACATATAAAGGGCACACGTAGTGAACATGCTGTCTTTACAGACGTTGTACATTTTTGCATTAATTGTTTACTTTCAGTGTCGGATAAAAGACTAATCTCTGTAACCTGTTTTATGGTAAGAGCTGTCAGTGGAAAATTACCTGTTAGACCCTGTTTTTTGCAGATGGCTGATTCCTTTTTCATGTTGGAGTAATTTTATTGACTTGAATAGAGTTGCTTCTAATTTATGCTGCTAAGAAAACAGAAAACTGGGCTCAATATGGAGATCATGATTAGAAGACAGGGAAGAAGGAGTAACAAGAAGCTCCTACATATTTTCCAAATGAGGCTAAGACGGTTTATAATGACTTGTGTTATTAGCTCTAGATTTAGGCTTTTTAACAACAGTGGTAACATGGAAGAAAAGCAATCATTGGTAACAGTGTAAAGTAAAATGTAGACAACCTCTAGTATATATTTGCAATACTTTCTCAATGTTAAATGTTGTTTGGCAGTCCAGTGAGATAGCATCAATCGCATACTTCTGTGGTGTTTTGGTTCAGTGCCCGTTACATGTCACATCATATGAAAAAATAGACTTCTTCAGTACATGCAGTGTATTTTTAACAAAATGTCCTTCACACATGGCATTGTGTTCCTGATTGAGACTTGCTCACTGTGTTTGGGGAAAAACTCTCTGATTAGTAGAGTAAGCTGCATTTTATCTGAAAGAGCCAATGTCTCAATTGAATTGTTCCTTTGGGCTTAGTGTCATGTGGATTGTGCTGAGGAGCTTTAGGCCTCCTTCATTTTGCCATGGCCTGTGAGTATGACCTCACCTCATCTTGTGCCGTGTCAAAAGCAGTGCACATGCTGAAGCATCGCTGTCTTCCCCAGATGGTTAGAGCTCTGTCTTTTCTCCTCCTCCATTCAGGCTTTCACCCATTATTTGTATGTCCTTTTCTTCAGTGTTGGCTGGGTTCTCTCTTCACCTACATCTGGAGTGGTACTTGAGAGACTGCCAAACTGCAAAGTTCTGGTCACCAACCATCACTATTTTAGGTCTGCTTACAGAAGTTGGGATTTTATTGATATGGGACAACGAAGACCCACTAGCTATAAATTTGGGTCAGTTGATCACTGCAATCCAGATACAGGTTTATGAAGAAATCTATTTGGCATTGAGGACTATGTGTTTCCAGGCATCTCCTTTATTGTTTCTCTCTGGTGCTCCTCTGGGGACATCAACTGCTGGGTGAATCTTGATCAGTCAGACAGTAGCGACTGCCATTTCAAGGAATTCAGGGCAGCATCCTTTGAGATGGCCCATGCGGCTGAGCATGCACTTTTGAACTTTGGTAAGAGTTTATTCATTATAAACACATGCTGGACTATGAAGGACAGGCTAGTAATAGATGTGTGGATGTCTGTTTAATGTCTCTGCCATGTAGAGAGAACGTTGTTGTTTAGTCCATTCGTATAAAGGCATGCCATCCTACGTTTTATGAAAGCCAGCACAAGCTTTCAAAAAATGGTGGTCTGCAGCTTCTGCTGTCTCCCCCCACAATGGTGCTGGCCATTGCGCTGCCCTTCGACTCTACTCCATCCTTCTTAAATAGAGCTGAAGTTGTGGGGCAGCACAACAGTCCGTAAAACCTTCCCCTGTGCAGCAGAGCTGTGTTAATCCTGTGGTCCCAGAGCAGGGGGACAGTGGATGGCAGCAGTATTCCTGTCCCCTATCACCGCACTTACACCAAGCTGGAGTGTGTGTCTGTTGAAAGTGCTTGTTTTGAAGTGCTACAGTTAAGATACCATTTCTCAGCTATGGTGCAGACTGTAAAGCTGTGTGCTGGCAGTTGTTCTCTGAAACGGATTCTGTCTCCTTGCCCAGTTTCTTCAAAGTGTGTCCACCCATTTCTTGTTACGGTTTATACGTTCCCAATCTAGGTTGGTACTAGAATAGCTTTCTGTAAGTGCTTTTCTGTTTTGGAGAACATTTTTTCTCTGAAAAGTAACACATTTGCATGCCAGCAGTTCCAGCCTTTTGGAAATTCCACTTGCAAAATGCAGGTCACAGTGTAGCTATTGCTACATTGTGCTTTGCTGTCCTCCAAAATGTCCTCGAAAAAGAGGGGAAAAAAGCCCCCTGTCTCTCAGTGCACAACCCGGGAGATCGTTAGGCGAAAGAAGCCATTAAAACTCCTTTCTGAATTAATTTAGCACACAAGCTGGGTTGCAAGCAATGAGGTCCTAATTCAGAGCCCATTGATGTCAGCAAAAAGACTTCCACTTGACTTTAGTTCGTACCCCAATTGAAGCTGGAGTGAACAGGGAAAGTTTTTTAAAAAGCATTATGTAATACTTATCAGATATTTTAAGTGTTTTCGTGTTCTGTTGTCTGCAGGGAAAGTCAACCTCATTTTAAAAACTCAATAGAGAACTAGCATTCTTTGCTACTCCCGTTTCAGAAAATGACTTAAAAATATTTCATTCTTCTTCATTCAGGACACACCATCCAGTCTGTTCTGGGGATCTTAAAGCCAGAATAGTGTGTGATTGTGTAATTGAAGGCTTGTGTTGAGTTTTAGGAAGACTTTTCTTTGGAGTAAGAACTGCCTGATTGAGGCTATTATCAGCAGAAACGCTATTCCAACCTCTGCTAGGGTAGAAGGGCACAGACCCAACTACTGATCCGTGCTTTTTCCCTAGACTTAGTGATGTTGAGGAACTAATTTGACAAAATATCTTCCAATGTCTCTTGGGGAGAGCTGCACACTGTTGGAAAGACCATTATTGTACTGTTACCACAGTAAGCCTGAGTTGAAAGACCATTTTTTAAAAAAAAGCCTTACATAACTACACAGAGAAGAAGTTATTTTGAGATTTTTCAATGCAAGTCCTGCTTTTGGCTAGCATAGAAGAGACTGTCCTCAAAGTGGTAGAATTGTGCCATGTGTGATTCTGAGCAAAGGATCCATAGACAGCAATCTGCTAATAGGGCTGAGCTTAAGAAGCATTTTGGATTTGGATTAAATGATACCTGCATTTAAGATGACATTGGGCCCCCTCCTAAGCTCCTCTGTGAGTTTCATATAGGGCAAAGTGCTACTTGAATATACTGCCAGGCCAGAGAATGTGCCAAATTTTCTTCAAAAAACCCTTCTCCTGCTAGCAAAATGTGTTAGAATAAGGCTTTGTGCTTCATTGAAAGTCATCACAGCTGTTGATACCCGTTGAAATTATTTCTTCAGTAAATTTCCTGCTCATCCTGCACTGGTGCTCAGCTACTGAAAAACATATGTGTCCAATGATAACCACAATAAGACCAATTTTTTTCTTTCCTTCAATATCCGAAATAGTCCCATTCAAAACCTGTTATAGTATCCTAGCACTGTATTCTTCCAGGAAGGGAACTGGAGGGCCTTCAAAGATGCATCTCATCTTCTGAGGAAAGATGAAGTAAGCCATGTCTTCTAGTGATGGATCATTCACTGGGTTTTTAAGGAACCTTCTAACAGAAACATTGCCTTGAGGGTCCATGTGGTAAGTAAACCCCCCACAGATGAAACGTTTTATAAGGATTTTTACACTATTATCAGCCTCATAATATTAGAGAAAGGCAGACTTGATCAAAATTTGAGCTGTTTGGCACTGAGCCCTCCCAGGCTGTCAGAAACATGATGCTAGTTCCTGTTCACTGTATTTGCTTCTTTTAGAATCATAGAATCATTTAGGTTGGAAAAGGCCCTTAAGAGCCTCAAGTCCAACCGTTAACCAAGCACTGCCCTGCCCACCAGGCCAGGGTGAAGGGACCAAAGAGAGACCTGTGTGTGCTGCGTGTTGAGGGGCTTGGGATGGGTTGCTTTGTGTGTTGTAATTGTGGCAGGAACCTGAGCGCTGCCGTTCCAGCTTGGCATCGCCACCTGTGAGGAGATTTTGTGGTTGTTTTCCCTCATCAAAGCCTCGAAGTACTAGACTCACTCTCATCTTCTGCATTCCCACATATGAAGACCTTCCCTATGGTGGTGGCTCCTGGTACATGGCATGAATGATTGTGAGTTACACACCTGCCCATCAAGGGACTTCAGTGGTCAGAATAATGGACATGGGACCTTGCAAAGGGCAGAACTGCAAGGTCATTTGGAGTTAAGGGAATATGATTGCACTTTGCTGTCCCCCTGCTCTGTAGGCTTCCGAACTGCCATTGCCTACTGTTTTTCATGTCCCTTAAAGAAGTGTTGCTTCAGATCAGCACATTTCTTTGTCAGCCCTGTAAAGAAGTCAGAACGACTGAAGTTTGTGATAGAAGGTCATCCTGTTACACTTCCAGGATGTATTGTTTTCTTTCCTGGGTACGTTCTGGACTTGAGGTTTTGGCACCCAAGGAATCATGAGTTCCTTCCGCCAGAAATACTCTTTTTCTTGTCTCTGAAAACAGCAGATGTTGCCTCTGTGAGCGCTCCAGGTAGGCAGTGCGTTCGCCTTCCCAGCAGCTGGTGGGGGAAGTGTGTAACACTTGAGGAATCTGGATTTCATGTCCCTGTGGTGGTGTTGGGAGGCGTGCAGCATTTGAAATGTTGACTGTCCTCTTACCAGGCACCCTTTCTTTTGTTTTCATTGTCTTGACCTCACCTTTTTGTTTTCCCTAACCCTGAAGCTTCCAGCTAGTCAGGAAGGGCCTTTCTTCTTATAGCACAAATTGCTATGCAAATGTTTCTTGCATATGCTGCATACATGGCATCTATCCAA